TAAACACATTCCATTATCGCTTTTGTTTTTAGTCTTCCGTGACGTGAACACGCCGGACCCATTTATTGAAGACTTGAGTGCCTACCACGGGGGCGAAGATCCTGCGGCAACTTCAGCCGCCCTTCCGAATCATGTTTACGTGGATGCAATGGGTTTTGGCATGGGCTGTTGCTGTCTACAAGTGACCTTCCAGGTAGCCCTTGCTAACCTTCTTCCTTCTCGAGGCCTTGGTTTTCATCGGATTCCTTAACATTCCTTGAAAACTGTTGATGTTTTGCTTGTTCACACCACTAATACTAACATTTTAACCTAGTCAGTCAAAGCCTAAATGTACTGGCAGTCGATAGTGTTTTAATTCAATTAAACTGTTTAAAATGGCTCATCTTATAAGCAAACTTTTAGCTGTTTCTTTCTCTTAATTCTACATCCTCAGGTCCTTGATCATATTATTCACAGATTGAGTAGACCTGCTTGCCTTACTGACGACCTCTATACCACATGACTTTTCAGGGCTGTTGCGTTTCTGAAGCTAGAATGCTCTATGACCAACTGACAACAATTTGCCCAATTGTGATGGCGCTGAGCGCGGCGACTCCAGCTATTCGAGGCTATCTCCTAGACGTGGACTGTCGGTGGGAAATTATTTCCGGCGCTGTTGATGACAGGACCGAGGAGGAGCGCGGTCTTAAGGTAACTGGAACAACGTGTATTTTGAAGTCCAGTTTGGCGAGTATACGTGTACTTTCGACAAATTCTCGTCAGGTCGTGGGCTGATGTGGCGTTTACACTCAGTAGTAGTCTGTATTTACTGTTTTAGAACTTCTTAAGCAATAGTAGCGAAAATTCGATTCCCAGGTGGTAAATCAGAGGAAGCGTGTTCACCGAGAGAGGTTTATTTTGTTTCCGACGTTTCGGGTAGTTGCCTCGTCTACTCATCTTTAGAGAATAAATACTCTGGTGCATGGTTTTCGAGTCTCGCGTCTCGATGTCCCTCCTTAAGTATTTTCGGGAATTGAGTTACTTTAATCAGCCTAAAACCTAATTTCGAAGTGTATTTGTTTCACAAGTTCTAACAGAAGCGATAATATTATTAATAAACATAAGGTAGTTTATTAATTTTTTTCCCGAGCTTTCTAACTCGGCACCATTCCCTAAGACAGAAACAGTATTTAAAAAAATCTTTGACACTCCTCTTTAGCACTGAAAATGTGAATCAAGCACCTCGAACGGAACAAACTGCTTGTGGCAACAGAAGATAACGGTGTTTTCTGACTGATTCTTTGCGTAGTACGATCCGTGCTTTTTCCTCTCATTTATGGTCGGAGACCCGCAGCTTCTTTCCGTTAAGCATTATATATACAGGGTGTCCCAGAAGTAATTGGCCCTTTTGATTTGCTAATAAAACGCTAGGATATTGAAACTTGTTTTATTCGAAAGACATAATTCTAGAATTC